AGGAATTTAAGGGTCTCAGCCTTTGCTTCTCCCTGTGCTGTGGTCTGATGTTTTCTTTGCATAAAGGCAAAACAGTTAAATTTTCGTTCGTCTTCTCCTCTTGCCGTGTTGCTCGTGTGTGTTTTGCCTTTATTTCTACTTCTCCAAAATTTCATTTTGGAGGGAAAAAAAAAAAAAAGGCTTCTGAACTGATGGTGGAGTACTTTCCACTTGGGAGATTTTGAGAGATCTTGTACTTTAGTCCCTTGTACTATTTTAGAAACACGTTCTGGTTTTGTGCATGTTCTGTCTTTTATTTGCCTGCTTTTTTTGTTTCTAATTGTTTCATTGTGTAGGTTTCTACAGACACAGAGCTAAAATGCTTAGAAATTCATGGGTTACATTTTCAGCCAGTGTGTTGGTTGACATCAGTTTTAGCTGTTCCATCGAGGACTTTTTGTGAAGGCTGATTTGATTAAAACAGCCAGCATATTTTCACAGTTGTTGGTCAGTCTCATCCTAGAAAAGATGTCGAGTTTTTTCCTACCCAGTTTTAGATCTTGGTACTTAGATTGGATTGTTGGTGAGATAAGTCCAGCTTATTATGTGAAAGCTTGACTCTATGCAACTGTACTTGCACAGTCTAAGTCATTTGCTGCTGCCATGGGAGAAATCAAAGCTTTGGGATATTCTGTCTTCTTTTTGAAAAGGAGCTTCTGTGTGTTGTGACTGTGCTATAAATGCTGGGAAGAGAGAGTAACCATGGCCCTGAGATGCTATGGGCTTTCCATGAGAATTCTCTGTGTGAAGAGTTACAGAGCTGCTGTAAATTCAGTGTGGGGCTGTGCCCATCAGTTGGCAGCTGGGCTGGACAACTGCTGCCAGGCTGTGCTCCTGTGGGGGCTGGAATTCCATGGGAACAATGCCAAATCTACTCCTTCAAGTGTTTATCCCAGGATGTGTATGGTGTTGGTTATGGGGTGAATGCTCCATGACCAGTTGTGCACTGTTGAAGCATATATGATACACCATAAACTTGAAATTATTCGCTCGCACACACATCTTTCATACAGATTTCCCTCTTTTTGAAGGGACTAGGATTTGTACTTCAAGGTTTCTCAGCCTGTTTCTCAGCATATGGCCAAAGGGTTTATGAGGCTATGAAATGGGCATGAAAAAGGCTTCGTGTTTCATGGAAGTGTTGTGTGGTTTGAATAGTTAATGCATGCGTATGCATATTCAGAGCTTCACATCAAAAGCACTTGCATATCATTTGTGTGTAAATACAGGTTTCTACCACTATATAGACAGCTAGTATCACATTATTTCATATTCCCCCACTTCCCTGTGGGGTTTGCAGGTAACAGTAGTCGAAAAATAATGTGATTTTCTATTTTTATAGGGACTCAGCAGTTAACGTTCGCTGCCAGTCAGACTCCTTTTCATGTCTGGCAGCTCCACAGAACTTGGGTTGTGTGACTAAATTGTACTCATATGAAGCATGCCTTTAAAATGGGAATGGTTGTTCAGCAGATTAAGGACTCCTAGGATCCAAGTACTTAAGGTGAACTTAAAAAAAACCCCCACTGAATCACCTACTTATATAGGTTAAAAAACCCCACAGCCCCCCAAGCTTCCCACCTCATCCCGTGTAATATATATATTTAAAGTCAGTCTGTTGTTCAGCTGACACTTTGAGTGGTGTAAGTGGCTGCAGCCAGCAGTAGAACTCCTGCCTTACCAGCATTCACAGACACCCTTTCCTTTTTTACTACATCAGTTTTCATCTGGATCAGTTTTCTGATCCGCTCTGTTCTGTGGCCACCAAACCCTTGTGTTGACAAGGAGTAAAGGTGAACACTTGGGGGCAAAGGTACTTGGGACTGTAACTTGAGGGTTGACTTGTTAGACAAGAAGTCACAGAAATTTTCTGAGGCTCTCAGATTAATATATTTACTGTAAACAATTCCTTTTTTACAGTTCACAGTTAACTATCTTTGCCTTTATTCGAGCAGGAGCAATATTGACCTTTTTGGCTTCCAGAAGAGAACAACTTGGCTAATTGCAGTATTTTCTTGATCAATGGTTGCATTGTGCCCTTGCTTGTGCTGTTGAGGGCAGATGTTGGGTAAGATGGCTCATCTTACCCAAAATGATAGATATATTTTGAAGAAACACACATACACACCCTGTGTGTGTATACACACATAAATATAGTGGGGTTCAAATACTCTAGTATAGGTGACGATACTTCACACACTTAGTGCCCTGGTCATTTTTAGTAGTTGTAATTTTAGCCTTTTGATCTCACCTGTTAAGCATTTAAGTATTTTAAATAAACTCAGTTATTATGCTGGGAGTTGATAATTGGGTTTTCTTGTCCCAGCAAACAAATCAAACTTTTTATAGTTGGAAAAGGAGTCTTCTATCTCTTTTTCAGATTTACAGTAAAAATTAGAATGAATTATATTACTGATGCATGATGGAAGATTTGATAGTTAGGAAATTAGACTAATAAAACCCAAATGTAGCTAACCAAGATTTAGTGAAGGAAAATGAGGAAATGCCCTTCAACCTATGTGTTGTTCTGTACAGGCAACACTGATGTAGATATGCAGAGATTAATCTGCTCAAGATGAAACTAAATTACCATGGAGTAGGAGTTTTTTTGAATATGACTCTTTATGCTTCCATATTAAACACAAGGCCAACAGGTCATAGACAAAGGGCAGGTCTGCCAAAAGAAAACACACCAAAATATTTCATAAATAGTATTAGAGAGAATGGATGTTGTGCACTGTCACAACACCTCTCAAGAAGGAAAAACCTGAATGTGATTAATAAATTAGCTAATCTTATTGCAGGTAATTTATTACGGTGATTAGTGCTTTATAGTCTTTCCTCGGGGTAGAGGGAAGAAATGGATGAGGTTTCCTCTTGCTGCTGCCCTTCCTTTGCATGGGCCTGGCTTTTGGTGTGTTTGCCTTTTGGTGAGTGGTGTTGCTCATTGATAGCTCCTGAGCCAGCACCAGAAAGGCAGAGCAAAGAAATACTGTTTGGTTTCCCTACTGATTCCAGGTGCTTAAATAACATCTACAGTGTTACACTTACACGTTTTAATAATTACTGATGCCACCATTAGTTTGTCTTTGTGTGCCCTGTGTGTCTTCAAAGTAAGCCCTTATTTTTAAAATGTCAAGAGAAAAAAAACCCCATTGACTTCAAGCAAAAATGTTCCAGACTTAATTGGACATAATATCAGCAAAATGTGCTGGTTTTCAAGTCTATCAAAATAAATGAGAGAAAGTGTAAAGCTTGGACATGTATCCAGTAAGATGAAAAGTTTTCTCTGCTAAAACAGGCAAATGTTGATAACTTGGCAGAAACCTGAATTTAACTGCTCCATCCTACTTCTCTGATAATATTATCACACTAGTTTGTTCGGGGGGATTGATAGTTATGACAAGTGTATCAAATTTCATGCTGGTGGTATCTTTTATGTTTCCTGGGAGGGAAGAAAATAGCAATTCTATCTTGTGCCCGGGAGTCACAGAGAGCAGGAATTGTAGGTACCTGCCACATCGAGTTTTTAAATAAAAATGAATTGCAGAGCTGCACGTAGCACAGATGGGGAAGAGGAGGGAAGAGGGAAAAGAGTGAGGCAAAACCTGTAGAGGAGCATTTATTGCATCTCCCCAGATTTTATTCTAAAGCAGCACTGCAGAGAGTTAAGTGTATGTACAATCTGTATTTTGTTCAGACGTGAGGTGTCTGTGAAAAAGTCTGCTTGGTCCTTTCAGGGGATTTGTAGCTTTTTGGTTTTCTATCCAGAATTAACTAATTTTGCTAAAAAGATATTTGTATACATACCTTGTGTAATTCCTGTTTCTGTGCTGTAAATATTGAAAAGCAGAGGGTTTTGGCTGGTTCCCTGTGAGTCTTATTTATGGGAAGGTTAATCTTGTATATACTTGCAGCTTTACTTTGAAACTTACTTTAAAAAAACCCAAACAGTTTTAAAAGTTGAAAGGCAAGTTTTAAACTAGAGAAGCCACTTCTATTTAAGAGAACTGTATCCACAAGAAATGTATGACATCTGATTTTGTCCTCCTTGGGGCAGATGTTGTGAGTCCCCAAGCTGGAAGATGGACCCATAGATTTCCACATATATTTTGCTGCCTTTATGGGAAAAAAAAACAAGACAAACCTCTCAAAAAACCAGCACAACAAACCCAACCTTTTCTAAGTGATTATTAGGAGTAAGCACCAAAATAAATGATTTGGTATGAGACTGGGAAATCAAGCTTATGGTGAAGGCCGTGGAAGTTGTCTTTGATGCAAACTTAGGTGCGATTTTTGGCAAGTCACAATGGGACAGATTTTGTAAAAGAAGCTAACTTCTGTGAAGACATCACAGTATGGGACTATATTTTTAAGGGAGCTCAGCACCCAGTATGTTTATTTGGAAAACCTGGCAGTGATTGCTGGTACCAAGTGCTTGAAAATCTGTTTCTGAACTCCAACAATCTGGCTCTGTGGGCATGAGCCTCCTTCCAAACAGTGGTATCAGTTGCCCTGCACTGAGGTGAGCAAACCTGCATTCTTTACCTCTGACTCTCATGGTAAATGAATTAACCACATTTCCCTTTTCCTGCTATGTTGTATTTGGCTGAGTTTTATGGTTTCTTCTACTCGTGTACGTCTTGCAGAAACGAGATGCTGCTTTAACATAATAGCAATAATAATAATAATATGAAAGTACATTGCAAATGAATTGATGCTTTGGAGGACAGACCAGGTGCGGAATAAATGCCACTGGAACACAAATTAATCCAAATAACAGCATACTCTAAAAAAACAACAGCACCAGCAGTCTGATTCAGTACCTTCAGCACATGTGGAGGTGCCCACAGATCTTGGGTGTTTGGTTCTGTCACTGCTGGCTGTCTGCTTATTGTGCCGGCATTGCTGGTTTGTGGGAGGATAATGTGCTAATTAAGTCCTCTTTTTTGTTATTTCAGGAAACCTACCATATGAATATAAAATAGTGATTGCTGGGAATCATGAACTGACATTTGATAAGGAATTCATGGCAGACCTTGTTAAACAAGATTACTACCGCTTTCCCTCTGTGTCCAAATTGAAACCAGAGGACTTTGACAATGTTCAGTCACTCCTGACAAATAGTATTTACTTACAAGATTCAGAGGTAACAGTTAAAGGATTCCGAATATATGGTGCCCCGTGGTAAGTCTCAATTTAAACTTTCTTTGCTGTTTATTACTTGAACCACAGCAGGAATTGTTCCTGTTGAACATGCATGAAGCTGCTTTGTTGCATTGCCCTGCAGAAGAGTATCAAACTTAGCTGTAAACCACCCTGAAATAGTTTCTTTTTTTCCCCTTTTTTCTTGTGTGTGTGTGTGTGTGGATAAATAATCTCTATTTAGCCATGTGTGTGAAATAAGACAAAAGGAACTGTGACTATTCCTACCTGCTGAATGAACTCAATGCCCACCCTGTGCTCGTGGATTAACTGCAGTGGCATCTTAGTATGTATTGGAGAAGCTCCATTATAGTGTGTGCTGTTGGGGTATTTATGTCTGCTATGCTAATAGATTAGTGTGGTAGAATTTAACACCCACACAGCACAGGGTACAAGGCAGCAGGTGCTTTAAGCCCTATTTTTTGATCAGTTCCAGGCATTGTTTTCTTTTCCTTGTAAAGTTGTGATAAAAAAATTTCAAGCCGGATTTGGTGTCATTCCATCCATGTGTCAAGCATGTCACGCAGGAAAAAATTGCTGTCCCATTTTGTACTAAGGAGATTCTTCCTTGTTTTTTCTACATGCCATTTAACTGTGATGCCTGACATCTTTCTGTGTAGTCTTGGGTAGCACTTGTTTAAAATTCTCATGCTAACAACAGCCACAGTCCTTTCAGGCTTTACCAGAAACCTGAACTTGAGTGATGGTGATAATCATTCTGCTGCTTGGCATTCTCAATTGTCAGCTGAAGTACTGAGATGCTAATTTATGCACACCTATAAGAAGGGTTTATTATAAGCTTATAACTTATTTTTGATGTCAGCCTTGCTTTAAAGGTGAAAGCAGGAGAGGAAGGAGGAATGACAGGAGTTGAACCAAGAAATGGGGCAAACCTACACATATATTAGAAATTTTCCCCTTCATCTCATCTCTGTTGTCTTGGCCCTCAGATTCATGTAACACCACACACACTGATGCTTCTGACAGTGCTTTTTTCTGGTCATATTGTGTGCATTAGTGCTGGCTAGAAAACTGATCTAGCTCTGTGTCTCACATTCTTGACTTGAGCTACTAATTTTTTAATTTAAGTCATAGCCTTTAGCTAGTAGTTTAAATCAGTCTGACACTGGTTAGCTAAAAAAAAAAGTAATGCTCTAAATCCTGCATTATCAGCAAATTGGGAAAGATGATCTTAATTCAGGTTAAGAATCATCTCCTCAAGACATTTTGAAGTAATTTTTTTCTTTTTTTTGGTGATATCAGCACAGAAGGCAGGGCACATAAGGCCTTGGGTGGAGTGAGGTGGATTTGAGGCTTGCTGCAAGGTAAGGAGCTGAGGAGGGTTAGGTGCTAAGATTAAGAGTGTTCAGCCTCTTTTGTATGTGTGTCTCAGACTCAGAGGGCTTCTGCAGCCATGCAGTGATTAGGAAGTGTAGGCATCTTTTAAAATTTATTTGGGTCAGATTTACCTGAACTCAGCTTACTTACAGCACTGCTGGAGAGATCTGGAGAAGGCAGAATCCGAGTCTGGGGAAGAGGGAGTTTGGTATTCTGAAATAGAGAACTGTGTGACGTGCCTTTACATTTACATTTATATGCACTGGCAGTATGTAGTGTTCTTTTTTGTACCCTTTTGCTTCCCAAATCTGCAGTGGAAATCTGTCACCCTTTTGCCTCCAGCCGCATTTAGAAGCTCTTTCAATTTGCAGGTGTACACATGGATTTACAATGTTTGTTCTGAAATATTAAGGGACATCACATCAAGGTACGGAGTTGTTTTAGCCGTAAAAAGTGAATGGCATATGTATTCTGACCTAGTCATGGAAGACAAACCTGAATTATTCTTTCCTATAATCCATTGATAACTGGATTTTTCCGATTAGTGATGCATGACAAATGCAGCTAGAATCCTGGAAATGCACACTGAGCTCCAACCAAGTGCGGATTTCTCTCTCGAAGGATGTTTCATTTGTGTTCAGCTGTGAAAAACTGTTGTAAAAGCATGTTTTGAGCAACTGTTGATGTGGAGTTGAGGCTACTGTTTTCAGCAGAGCTTTTTAGATCAATCAGCCAGTTTGTGTTCAGAGCATAAAGATGTAGTGTTGTCTATACATTCTCTCTCTTTTTTTCTTTTTTTTTTTTTTAAATAATGATGGTTCCTAGAAAATGTGAAAATTCAACTAGATTTTTGCATTTTAGCCGGTGTTTGAGAGGAGGGAAAAGTCACATCAGGTATCAGAAAAACCTGCTCTAATTCTGTTCTGTGCCTGGAAACTGAGACAGAATGATCAGACAAGCCTGTCAGCACTTAAATTTTTTTCTCTTTCCCTTCCAATCACATCTCTCTCTACTTCTGTAAATCTTCAGACTCCCCCAAAGGAAGAGAATTTGTGGGGTTTTGTGTGTATTTATGGGCTCCTTACCTCAATTAGTTCTGTCACAGAAATGGAACACTGGTCATTAACCCAGAAGATGCGCCAACCCTAAAACGAGATAAGTTGGCGTGTTCAATTTATGTGCAGTTTTGTAAGTATTTCCAGAGGGAAAAGAAAAAAAATTCTCATTTGCTGATAAAGCTACTGGTTTTAATTTAAAAAAGAGGGATCAAACCAAGAATAACAGATGTGATTCTGGAGGTTTCAGCCTGTCAGGGGTTTCTAAGAAGTAATTGCCAGAGTGCTGGGAAGGCTGGCTGTAAGTAATCTATCTAGAAAATGTAAATTGCCAACTCAGTGTAACTACAGAAAAGAAATATCAGTCCATATTCATTACGTGTTATTACTCGTGGTACATCTGAAAGCTTTCTAAAGACCTCAGAGAATTCAAGTAGTGCCTCCTAACTTACAATTTAGCAGAATTTGTGTGTAAAAAATAACTTACAATACACGGGAGCATTCATGTGTATTTGCAATTGGATTGTGCAGTGGTGCATAACAACAGCCTCTAAGGAGCAGAAAATTTGAATTTAGCCCTATGGTTCTGAGAGTATTTAATGGCATTAGCTGGAAGGAAGTTGAAAAGAAGACTATCAGCCCCTAAAAGAGAAAAGTGCCAGGGTGGGACATAAATCGCATTCAGAGCTCTGTTCATTTTCAGAGGTGAAGAATGTAACTGACATTTTCACACCTTAAATAGGGGATTCTTTGATGTACCTTGAAGGAGCAAAATGGCTGAAGATTTTCCATTTGGTCTATAGATAACAATCCACAAAAACATTCCCCTCCTCTCTCTTCCTCCTGACTTTGTGCTGTGAACCTGCCTTGTTTGGTGGGGAAATAATTGATAGTTTATGCAGTCAAAACTCTTAAAGGTTCCAACGCAAATATTTTCCTCTTGGGAAATTTGAGATTGAGGCTACTTATTAAACAGGACAAAAAAAAATACAAACAGTGATGGATATATGAAAATTTAAATTTTAAAATTGCCTTTGTGAAGTAAATGTGAGCACAAGTCATACTGATGTATCTGTGAAAGACTAAGGAGAGACAGTCTGTTTTTACTGCAGCTTCGGGTGCTGAATATGCATAAGTGAATAAGTTTTATTTAAATTCAAATGTTATTTTAAAATATGTCTGGGTTTTTTAGATTATATTTGAAATTGTTCATCCATGCTAAGGACTGAATTCACTCTAGTGTGCTGTAGACATTTGGATACAAATATTCTCACAATGTCTGTTTTCTAATGAAGCTTTAAAAGCATTCAAACCACCAGAGAACTGCAGTTAACTGGAGCCAGAATTTGTTTAAACCACATTTTGACAGAAACAATTGTTCAGGGAGAATATTTTTCGCTGTTTTATTTTGTTCTGCTGATCAGCTCTACAGGTAGCTTTTTTTTTTTTTTTGGCTTGTTTGAAAGACAAAAATAGTTAAAAAGAAAAAGTATTCTGATGAAGTTTATTTTGTGTGCAGAGAGATTTATAGCAGTTAATTTCATGAATAATGAGGCAGTAGGCTTATTTGTGGATTTTAAATTCTGTTCTGCATAAAAATGTCAAAAGCTGCAAGTATAAAATAATCTCTCTAATAAAGCAATACTTTACATAATTTTTAGCTACGAAAATATATGGGCAAATGTCACCCATATCTAGCAGAAAGAAAAGTAAAGCTAAATATCTGGGACTTTCAGGCTATATATTTGTTTAGATAACTGTACCTAGATGTATCTTTTTTTGAAGGAAAAACGTGTAGTATAAAAGCTAATTCAATATAAATCAATGCATGTGAATGGTTAACGGAATCAACTTTATGGGAATAACTGAAAAGCACCACAAAGGTAAGAGATGACAATCGATTATTTAAATAACGACTGAAATCTGTGATTTGCATCATTGTGATGAAAATCAATTCATCCTGAATGGAGCTGGGAATAAAGCTCTTCCCTCCTGACAGGAACAGCAGCATTGTTCAGCAATATCCTGCACGTTTGTCAAGTTGTAGCTTGTTCAGGTCTCAAGAACAGAAGCACAAAGCTGGCCTCCCAGTTGCTTTTAATGAATACTAGTGGGTTTTTCCTATGTCCAAGAATTTGATCTGTAGGGTGATCCAGAGGTCAAGAACAAACGGCTCACTATCACTCACCTCTGCCAAGCCAAGGCTTTCATTTGCTTTTTTTAGTAACTCTAGAGGAAGTGCCTTAACTCTTTTTCAGAAGCAAAATTTTAATTGGCATAGATAACGCAACCTTAAGAAAGTCGAGACAGCTTCAGCCATCTCCTCTAAAAACAATGTTTTGTGCAGTCTTTTCCTTTTCTTTTTAGACTTGTCTTAAGTTTGGGGGTCTCATCAAATGGTTTTACATCAGTTTGAAATTATTTTTCTTGCTCTGTTTCTTTCTCTGCTTCATTTGCAGTCATGTTTTAGTAGGTCTAAGTTAGTACCTCTGCCTTGTTCTGATCAGTGTTTTCAGACCCTCAGTTTATCCTGTCAGAAAAGTGTCAGAGGTTTTTTTTTTTCCTTTCCAATTATAAGTTTTGTAATGC